TAGAACATTTTTAATTCTGTCCTCTAATATTCTGTCATATTTTGTCATATGTATGTTTCTTACACAAGTGTATGCAATTCACGCACATTCAGAAAAGAATCAACTCTATAATGAACACTGATTTTAAAAATCCTTGCTCCAAACTGGAAACTCTGTGGTAAGAGTTTTCTTTTACATATGACATGGTGCCTATTAAGGAAGCCTATATCATTTACTTAAACAGTGAGAACAATTTCGATTTATACAGCACAATATTTCAGAAACTTCACTTCAGAACACTTGAGCCACATTTAAAATGTTGCATCTGAAAACAAATTTTGCTAGAGATTTTCTCAGAGCTAAATTTGTTCTGCTAACTAGATTTTTGTTTTGTTTTTGTCATCTTTATTTGATGAAAAGTAATTTTAGGAGTCAGGGAGTTAACATGTTGTTATATTACTGTAAGAATCATCTTCTTTCTTCATCAACATTCTTCACCATATATTGTACAAGCAGGGCCGTCGCTAGTGGGGTGAAATGTGGTGACGATTATGGGGGCCCACAGCTGAGGGGGGCCCCCGGCGATCTCAAACGACTGGCTGAGGCCAGCCTAAAAGGACACTCAAGGACAGTTGACGGGCTACTGCTGCGCATCGTTCTGGAAAGCTTATCATTTGCATGTGTTTTTAAGCCTTGCCTATTTAAACATTCAAAAGAGTTTAAAGCATTCAAACACAAGACGCAGAAAAACTCAACTGAGTACTCGCGCGCCGTGTTCGGTGAGCCGCGTCTCACGGACAGCAACACCGAAACGAGCTCTCCTTCGCGTCCTCCTGCACCTGCACGAACAAATACCAAACATGCAAACAGAAAAAGATGTGAAAGAGACAAATTCAGCAACCGCGCGCGGTGTTCTGTGCGCACAGGGCGCACGCAGAGAGACGCGTCTCAAAGCGCTTGAACACCGAATTTGCCTCTTCTTGCTCTTGTACCGACAAATACATACAAAAGTGTCAAAATACCCGTCTTGGAGAGTCTCCTCGAAAAACCTGTCGGTTATGTCTAAAGTGAAAGTAAACAGTGGAGAAAGAAATCGGATGCGTATCATTATAATGGATGCATTGTCTCTTAAAGTGACCGAGCATAATTTACTAGCTGCTGTAATGTTAATCCAAGAAAATAAAAGAAAGAAAATCACTCACTGCTCTTGACTGAATTACTTTGAAGTTTTAACAAGAATTAATCCACAGTCAACTATAGTTGTTATACAGTATAGTGCAGGACACTATGTAGTTCATGTAAGTGAGTATTGCAAAATAAAGTAAACTGTGACATTTTATACCCAAAAATTCTTCATACAGTGAACTACTGGTAAAACTGATACAAAATTTGGGACCAAAAATTATTCAGACACTTTGACCTGTATTTTTGCTTAAGTGTTTTTTTTCTTTAATTGCTAATGCGACCTTTTTACACCACAGACTGAACAAAATGAAGCATTGCTTGGTAATTGGTCAACAAAGTATTGATAGTTGTGTAAATATTGTCATACTAACAGTTGTCTGAATTTTTGGTTGATTGTAATCCATTACCTTTCTATCAAAGTTACCTGACATTATCAAGCTGAATTTGTTCTGACAGTTTAACTCCGAGTTCTTGTCATATTTTATTATCATTTTCTAAACTATAGCAAATAAACTGTGATAATGTGAGAAATGTTGAAGGTGTCTGAATAATTTTTGGTTTGACTGTATATTTAATTTTTTACAGTGAAGACTATGCAGTGCTATTTCACATTTGATTATTCAGTTTCTGTACCTGGACACCTACAAACTTGAAAAAACTTAAACATTGTGTAAATAGCACAAATAGATAAATAGAACGAACATACAAATTAAACAATATCAAACAGGGCCCACTGGTACAACCTGCACTGGGGCCCCACAAACCCCAGCTACAGCCCTGTGTACAAGTACTCATAATAGAATGTCTTTTTTTTATGTATGGTAAATTACCAGTTTTATTGCTATGGCAGTAAAGGATTCATCGTTGTTTTCCCTGCAGGCTGCATGATTGTGGAATCACAGATGAAGGTTGTGCTGCTCTGGCTTCAGCTCTCAGATCAAACCCCTCACACCTGAGAGAACTTGATCTGTCTCATAATAATATAGGAGATTCAGGAAGAAGGCTGTTCTCTCTTGCTCTAGACAATCCTCACTGTAAACTGGAATTACTTAGGTATTGCATTATCTAGTCTTATACATCACTGTTTCACAAACCATTATTTATTTAAAGGTATTTTATACATTTTAAGATATCATCCTGTATACCTTGAACAGAAAGCATGAAGAGTGTGTCATTGTTGTATTTACAATCAATTGCAGGCTGATAGACTGTGGTCTCACAGATGAAGATTGTGCTGATCTTGCTTTAGCTCTGAGTTCAGACAACTCATGTTTGAGAGAGCTGAATTTATCAGAAAATAAATTTGGAGACTCTGGAATTAAACACCTCTGTTCTAAAATTAAGAATCCTCACTCCAAACTGGAAGCACTTTGGTAAGATCATTTTACGTGTCATTCATACGACACAATTTTCATAATTTCGGCTCTGTATGCCACCAGAATTAAAATGAAACAATAAAGATGAAATTAAGGTGCAGACGTTAAGCTTTAATTCAAGGGGTTGATCAAAAATATTAAATAAAATGCTTAGGAATTACAACCATTTATATACACAGTCCCCCCATTTTCAGGGGCTCAAATGTAATTGGACAAATAAATATAATCATAAATAAAATGTTAATTTTTAATATTTTTTTGAGAATCCTTTGCAGGCAATGACTGCCTTAAGTCTGCAACTCATGAACATCACCGGAGACTGGGTTTCCTCCTTTGTGATGCTTTGCCAGGCCTTTACTGCAGCTGACTTCAGTTGTTGTTTGTTTTTGTTTGTTGGTCTTTCGGTCTTTAGTTTTGTCTACAGTGAAATGCTTGCTCAATCAGGTTGAAATCAGGAAATTGACTTGGCCATTGCAGAATATTCCTCTTTCTTAACTTCAAAAACTCCTGGGTTGCTTTTGCAGTATGTTTTGGGTCATTGTCCACTTGTACTATGAAGCGCCTTCCAATTTAACCTTGCTGCATTTGACTGAATCTGGGCAGAGAGTATATCCCTATACACTTCAGAATTCATCCAGCTGCTTCTGTCCTCTGTCAAGTCATCAGTAAACACCAGTAACCCAGTGCACCTTTTGGAGAGTGTTCTTCACTTGAGGCCTTTTTATGTTGCTGAGCTCACCAGTGCGTTCTTTTTTAAAAGAATTAAAACAAACCATTATACTAAAGTCTTTTCATTTATTGAGGGCAATCCATATTGTACCACCTTTCCAGGATACATTACATCACAAGACTCACTAGATAAGACATACACTGAATTTATAATAGGTGGCCAGCACCACTAAAACAAAAAAAGGAGAAACAAAACCATACAAATTCTCAAAACAATAACAACACAAACCCTGGAATAAACATAATACATTTAACTAAATTTAGAGCCATGGATAAACTTTAGTTAATGCAAAAAGCACAAATTAAAAATGTATTATATTAAAAAAAGATAAATAATTAATTAGATTTTCATCTGCCATTCATTCAGACTATTTTAGACATATTGTGGAAGTATAGTGAATTTAATTTATAATGAACAAAAGGCTGCTAATGATTAAATGGTTGTTTGTTGTTAAAGGTATTATGATTGTACAGTTTATTTAAAATGTGTATATATTTTTCTTCGACATTGTGACTTTGACAGTTTACATTTCTGCTTTAATTTCAAATGACTGGGAACTGTTTACAAATCTTTTGGAAAACCACTTAACGTTACAGTAAATTATTTGAAGAGAAAGCACAACATCTTGCAGTGTAGTCCACTGAATAAAACCTATAGAAAAGACTTGGTATGCATAAAATATGTTGAAAATTCCCCCTTCTTTTCATAGTCAAAGTGTCCACATCCAGCACTCTCACCTCGTTCTTTAGCTCTTCAGAGACAGAATCCTTGTGAGCAATACCTGCACAACAGAAAAAAAAAGTTATTTAGAATATTTAGATTATGTAATCAGCAATGTTTAAAATTATGAATCACGTTGATTTATTTGAATTGTGAAATGATTTTGACATTATATCAACATTCTGTTTATTAATATAAACTGTGTGATTTGACAGAGGCACAGCAATAGTTGTAAATTTGTTATATGAATTTTGGAAATCCTTGTCTTCTGCCGCACTCTAGAATGATCAAAACAACGCCTCCTACAGGAATCAAGGTGAATAGCACAATACCATGGCATTGGGTAATTCGTGATACAGCCTACCCAACGGCTGGCAACGATCGTGTTACACTACGTGTGTCATTATCCTGTGGAATTGCCTGTAAACGTATGTATTACTGCATGCATGTCATCTTTATTTAGACCAAACTGAGGTATGTGGGGCAACTTGCAAGAGGAAAATGATGCCAGCCTCTTGTAAACGAACAGTAATCGAAAACGTCTCAGGTTACTTATGTAACCATGGTTCCCTGAGTAGGGAACAAGACACTGCGTCCTCTCGCAGTTCGAAGAACGAAACTTAGTTCAGAGAATCGATGGGATACGTCTGTTTTTTGTTACAGATTAATTTAATTAAACGTGACTCTGTAAAGGATTACGTTTATATAAATCGCTGAAACATTTTACTTAATTTGAATATTGGCTGTTTTAAGACATTGTTACACTAAGCATCATTCTATGTAGGCTAGCTATATCAGTAATGGTTTACTGCTGCGTAAATGCACTCATGAATAGGGTACATAAGAGCTGACACGTTGTTGTTGCATTTGAGTGTTTAATCAAATGTATCCGTGCTTTTGACAAGTGGGTCGAACTACCTTCAGAGAGAGGGAGAAGTGTGTTATCAGTGATTTCTCAAAGCCGTCAGAACTGACACAAATGGATCTGACGTGTTATCTAGGATTCACAGGAGTAAATCTGCTCTCTGGTGCAATGGTGAAAAATTGAGGTAAATCATCAGGTTCTCTCTCTGTCTTTTGAAGTCAAATGACCGTGAAATGCCAACTTTATCAGTTCTAGATTTCAGGTTGTACTGCAGTTCCTGAAGGTTCAATCGTGTGATATTTTTGTTTTGCAGGTTAAATGATTGTGGTATCACATATGAAGGTTGTGGTGCTCTGGCTTCTGCTCTGACATCAAACCTCTCACATCTGAGAGAACTTGATCTGTCTGGAAATAAACTAGAAGATTTAGGAGTTATGTTGCTTTCTGCTGGACTCGCAAATAATTTGTCTGAACTTGGAACACTTAAGTAAGACCACTCAGATCTTTAAAACCGTGATACGTTGAATTGTTGTTGCAAATAATCTGGTTCTCAAAAAGAATAAAATGTATTTGTTTGTTTGTGAAGCCAAACTACAGTGAAATTGTTGTTAGCTGATATTTTAGAGATCATGGTGACTGATATATTGTAAATATAAAGCAGATGTGATATCACTCGTTTTAATTTAAAGATTACACATGCACAGCATTGCTGAAATTAATTTTTATTAGTGATGGGCAACGATTAATCGCGATTAATCGCATCCAAATGTGTATACTGTGTATATTTATTATCTATATATAAAGGCACATATATTTTGAAAATATTTACATGTATTTGCATGTATGTATTTATATTCATATCATATATAAATATATTTAATATATAAACATAACATTTTCTTAAATATATACATGTGTGTGTGTATTTACATATACATAATAAATATACACAGAGCACACACATATATTATGTGCACAACAACTTTTATTTTGGATGTGATTAATCATTGCCCATCACTAATTTTTATATTTCATTGTTTTTTAAAAAGTTTTTTTTTTTATTCTACTATGTACTGAAATAATTTAGAATAAAAAAAATATTTTAACTTAAAATACAGATTTATATAGCAACTTGATTCTGTTTTATTATCCTGTATTTTTTCCACAAAGAAATAAATTGTTAAAAACAACTCATCACCATCACAAAAAAAAAAAAAAAAACGCACCAAACAGGAAAACTAATGGACAATGCTGATATATAATGGTTAACCACTACAATGAAATATGCATTAATCTTGTAAAGTGATTTCTGGATCTTTTTTAAGAATCTAGTTGCATCTATGGGAACATACTAAAATGTTGTGTAAGGTTATTGTTTTATCTGATATGGAAGTGACAATGAGGAGCATGTCATTTTACTCTCTGCAGGTTGATTGGTTGTGGTGTAACAAATGAAGGCTGTGCTGCTCTGGCTTCAGCTCTGGCATCAAACACCTCACACCTGAGAGAACTGGACCTGTCACAGAATAGCCTAAATGATTTAGAAATGATAATGCTCTCTGCTGGACTGAAGAATCCTTCATGCAAACTGGAGAAATTAAAGTAAGATCTTTTTAAAGATTTTGAGTATCAAAAAAAATGAAAAACAAACAAACAAAAAACACTGAAGACTTAAGCCCAGAAACTCGCCCCTGCACTGCCTATGATATCTTGAACTAAAAAGCAAGGATGTGATGACATATTCAACATTTGGTGGACCACGTGTAATAATTTAAGCAAAAATGTTCAACCTTTGAGAAACCCTATATCATTCTAATGTCAATATATAAACATGATGTCTATTTTGATTATGACCCTGTAGCAACGTGTACTGTTTCTTATTCTTTTTTTATTTTTTTCTCTGCAGGTTGTTGAGTTGTGGTTTAACAGAGGGAGGTTGTGCTGCACTGGCTTCAGCTCTGGGATCAAACTCCTCACACCTGAGAGAGCTGGATCTGTCTGAGAATAGCTTAAGTTATTTTCATACAATGCTGCTCTTTGCTGTAATGGGGAAACCTTGCTTGAAACTGGAAGCATTGAAGTAAGATCATGAATTGAAGTTGCAAACTTGAGATGGAAAAAATTAAGTCCAAGAAAATCTCAAAATATGTAAAAAAAAATTTTTTAAAAATCCAATTTGAACAGCAGTGTGTATTTTGTTTGTGATTTTGGGCAGCCACTGGAGGGTCACAGCTTCAAAGATCAGTGTGTCTTGAAGGAAAAAAGTGTGTTGTTGTTTTTTTCTGCAGATTGGTGAGCTGTAGTTGCACAGATGAAGGCTGTGCTGCTCTGGTATCAGCTCTGAGATCAAACCCCTCACATCTGAGAGAACTGGATCTGTCAAAGAATAACCTAAGTTACTTAGATATGATGCTGCTCTCTGCTGCAATGGAAAATCCTTACTGGAAACTGGAAACATTGAAGTAAGATCATCTCTTTGAGTGATGAAATTAATCTATACTAGCATCAACATTTTTTTCTTACATTTTTATTATATCTAGATTGTGGTCCTTGTACACTCTAAAAAATGCTGGGTTAAAAAGGGACAAACCCAGCTATTGGGTTGTTTTGACCCAGCGGCTGGGTTCAAAACAACCCAACCGCTGGGTCAAAACAACCCAATAGCTGGGTTTGTCCCTTTTTAACCCAGCATTTTTTAGAGTGTATGGTAAATTATTACAATAGGTTTTATAAACTATAGTGACATACTAATGAGTGGTTTCTTCAAAATCTTCTGAAATGAGTGTGTCCTAAATGGAGTGATGGCATGTTGCTGTTCTTCAGATTAAAAGATTGTGGTATCACAGAGGAAGGTTGTGCAGCTCTTGCCTCAGCTCTGAGATCAAACCCCTCACACCTGATAGAGCTGGATCTGTCTGGAAATAAAGTAGGAGACTTTGGAGTACAGATGCTCTCTGCTGCACTGGAGATCCCTTACTGTAAACTTGGAACACTTGAGTATGGGCTGGAGTAACTGCTGTATATAGTTTTATTGTGTGTATATTTAGTGTTGTGTATTATTTCTGTCACCTTTTTATTGTAAATTTGTTATGGTTATTGGCTTAATTCTACTTCTTTGTGCAGCACTTTGGTCGGCTCCGTCGTTTTTAAATGTGCTATATATATACATTAAACTGAAACTGAAGTAAGATGAATTTGAGTGTCAAATAGAAGCTAGTCACATTCAGTATTGTAGTTAGAGCAAAGCAACTTTAATCTGTGAAAGACAACAGTGAAAAAGTGAACAATGTGTTATTGTTTTCTCTGCAGGTTGGTGAGTTGTGATATTACAGATAACGGCTGTGTTGCACTAGTATCAGCTCTGAGATCAAACCCCTCGCACTTTAGAAACCTGGATCTGTCTGGGAATAAACTTGGAAATTTAGGAATAAAGCTACTCTCCGATGCACTGGAGAATCCTTACTGTAAACTGGAGACACTGAAGTAAGATCATTGCTCTGAGTCTTGCAACTGAATTGGGTCTCAAAAGACATATTTTTTTTAGTTTTAGTACACTCTTATTTTTTTTTTTAATGATTGTGACACCTAAGCATGCACAATGTTAGACTGTAATCCCACTTTGATCAGGATGTTCCTTCTTAACTCTAAGAAATAAGGAAGCTTATCCTTAGTCCTTATGGAATACTGTCTACAACTATGAGGACATGTTTGTCATGCTGAGAAAAGGAAAAGTGTAATTTTTCTCTCCAGATTGAATGACTGTGATCTCACAGATGAAGATTGTGTTTCACTGGCCTATCCTCTGATATTAAACTTCTCAAATTTGAGAGAGCTGGATCTGTCTGAAAATAAACTAGGAGATTCTGGAGTCAAGCTTCTTTTTGCTGGACCAGAGAGTCATCTATCTAAACTTGCAACATTTAAGTAAGATTTTAATTGTTATTTTAATTGTTTTTATTTTAAGTTATTCTAGGAGGTCAGCATCACAGGTCTGTGTCTTGAACTGAACAATTGGAGATTGTGCTTTGTTTTTCTGTAGGTTGGTGAATTGTGGTGTCACAGATGAAGGTTATGCTGCTCTGGCTTCAGCTCTGACATCAGACCCCTCACACCTGAGAGAACTGGATCTGTCTGGGAATAAAGTAGAAGATTCAGGAGTACAGATGCTCTCTAGTGGACTGGAGAATTATTACTGCCAACTGGAAACACTGAGGTAAGGCAATAATATTTATTTAGCCAAGCACTATTTAGTTCATAATCACTCACAATTCTGGATAATACTTATTGGTTTTGTGCTTGGTTTTGTGGTTTTTATATATAGTACTCTACACATATAAGTTTGCATACTGGTAAGTGGTTTAAGAGTTAAAGGGCACATATTATGCCCCTTTTTACAAGATGTTATATTGGTCTTGGGTGTCCCCATAATGTGTCTGTGAAGTTTCAGCTCAAAATACCCCACAGATCATTTATTATAACAGCTGGAAAATGTCATTTTTGGGGTGTTTTTTTTTTTTTTTTTTTAAACAGCTGGTTTGGTGTGCTTCACTTTAAATGCAAATGAGCTGCATATTCCTGTCTCCAGAAGAGGGTGTTGCGTATACTTCTCTCTGCAATAAACAGCCGGTAGAAGCAACATGACAAAGCGAGAGAACCGGTGTTCAGCCGTACATATGGGAAGCCAAATGAAATGAAAGTGGGAAGAAACGGCTCAATGTTACAGAGCTACCGAACGGATAGTGGCACGAACTAATCTCACAAGCGCGCCGCTGATCAATTAAAATACTTAGATAACGTACGCACACAAATATGGTTAAATCGCTAAGCACTATAATGACATGACATTCACAAAGGAGTCTGAAGTGAAATTATTAGTGCAGACATAAACATTTCGAGGCGCATTACCTTAAAGGGGTGGCTCAGTGGTTTTTTTCTAGGCTTGATTTTGTTTATGGGGTGCAGTCTAACATGTGTTAATGCTTCGTTTTTTTAAAAACGCATTATTTTTCACATAATTTACCTTTATTCCACACCGCTCTGTCCCTTCTCTGAGAAACTCGCTGATCATTTCCTTCTTTTATGAAGTCCCTCCCTCAGAAATAGGCGATGGGCTCTGATTGGTTAGCTAGCCCAGTGTGTTGTGATTGGCTAAACCACCT